TGGCTGCGATGATGGGCTCAAGTATAGCAGGGATTGTGGGGCTGGCGCGGGATTGGGCAGTGTTTCGTTCTGCTGTGCATGGGTTCGCTATGAGTCGTAGACAACTCGACGGCACTTAACAACAACAACAACAACTGATCTGAAGAAATTGGCAAGCCTTTGTATTTGTGTTTGAGGTAAGTTTGTTGCTGTGGAGTCCATTCAAACTCAAAGTGACCCTGTAGGACAGTAGAACTATCCCATAGGGTTTCCCAAGCTGTAATCTTTAAGGAAAGCAAACTATCGTATCTTTCTCTTGTGGAGCAGCTGGTGGGTTTGAATCACCAACTTTTCCCTTAATAGCCAAGTGCTTGACCACTGCTCCACCAAGGCTTCTGTATTTGATACAGACGTGACTATTCTGAAGATACTGAGCCTCCTTTTAAATACTGTATAGGCTTACTGAAGAAGAAAACACTAACATCCCACATGTGAAATCAACCCTGGCTATGGCCATGATTAACCATTGAAAAATAGTAATCCCAAATGAAAAGCTAAAATAGTGAAGTGGCAAGTAGTAGGGTGCATCTAGTACATTAACTTATATAACCCATTGCCTTTGAAGGGATTCATAGTGACCCTACAGGACAGAGAACTGCCCCATAGGTTTTCCAAGGCTGTAAATCTACAGAAACAGACTGTCACATCTTAATCTTTCTCCCGAGGAGCAGCTGATGAGTTTGAACAGTCAACCTTCTTTTTTTTTTTAATTTTATTGTGCTTTGGGTGCAAATTTACAAAGCAAGATTTGTTTTACATTCAACAGTTCGTGCACATTTGATTTCACACCCTGATTACCACCCGACTATAACAAACTCTCTTCCCCTTCTGTCCCTGTGACTCCCTCCCTGTGCCCTTATTAGCTATGTATTCCTGTCTGTCCAGCTTCCCCTCTGTGAATGCTGTCTCTCTGGTGTCTCACAGCTGATTGCTCTAAGGGGTGTATCTCCTTAGAATAGGTGGATCCTTCCCCTTGGGTAGGTGTTCTGCATGTAGGTCTTTCTACTGTTCGACTGAGAGCCAATCCATGGAACTAAGTCCATTTCTAGGCCCAAAGGTAACCCAGGACCATAGTCTTGTGGGTTCTACCACACTAGCTGACCAGTAATTCTGGTCATTTTTGTGCTGATACTGTTCCACGTTTTTCTCCCACTCTATCTAGATAATCTTCAGGTTTGATCCCTTTCTGAGCAGATGGCATTGGTAGCTGGGCACCACCTAGTTCTTCTGGTCTCAGGGACCATCATGTTCTTAATTATTTCCAGATACCTTTGATTTTCTTCACTCCTTTTGATTCAGATGAAAGGAGACAAATAGTTGCATCTTAGATGGCTGCTCAAAAGCTTTTACGACCCTAGTCACTACTCACCAAAGTTAAGTTGTGGAACAAGATTTTTATGTACCATGTTGTGCCAATTCAACTTGGTGTCCCCCAAGACTGTGGTCCTGAGTCAGCAGGCCCATTGATTCTTTCGAGGTGTATGGTTGTCTCCGAGAGGTTAGTAGGACTCTGTCTTCTGTTGTTTCTTGAACACTCATCCTTTTGGTTAGCAGACAAGTGATTAACTACTGCGCCATCAGGGAACCTTATTTACTACATTAAGCGGCAATACTCCTCCATTGTCAGAGTGGAGAGTCACCAAGAAAGAAGAGGAGGCCACATAGTGACATATACGACAACCTTCTGTCAGAAACATGGCCTTTGTTGATGCAGCCAAACTGCACTTCAAACAGGGTCACTCAGGTGCATAGAGAAAATGGCTTCCCTAGGTCACATAGGAAGTGCTGATTGCTGAGAAAATGCTAGGAATCTTCCTTTAGACTCTTTAACTCTGCTGCCTGTTATGTGCCGTAGGGTCGTACCCGACTCATAGTGAGCCCTCCTTGGGTTTCTGAGGCAGTATCACTACGGAAGTAGATTGCCCCATCTTCCTTCCAAGGAGTGGCTGGTGGGTTTGAACTGCCAGCCTTCTGGTTAGCAGTCAAGTGCCTTAGACAGTATGCTACCAGAGCTAGCATAGAATTCCACAGGTAGATTGCAGACCTCAGGAATTCTGAGTTCTTGAATCTTAAAGAAATTACTGCCATCAAATATGCATCAACTAGGCCAGTGCTTTCTATCCTTTAAAATTAATGCTTACTTGCATTTTTTTTCCTCCCTTGTAATAGGAATATATCACCACTAAATTTGTTAAGTGGTAGAACGTTTTGGAAAAGGGTAGTGATAATGGCACAACCACCAAAAAAATCTTAATGTGTAATCTCTGCCATGTTTTGGGTGTTTACAATTTAACTTAAAAAAAAAAAAATTTTAAGGCAGACTGTCCCAAGTGTGGGAAGGGAAGTTTCTTTCCCAATATTCCACAGAACTTAGCTGTGGGCATGAAGCCCAAAGCATTTTAGAATAGTGCTAGAGCAATACCCCACTGGATTCCTGGACATATTTTTGGCAAACTGAACCTCAACATTTGACTCTCCAACACTTAATAGGAAATAAACCAGTCATCGAGCAGAAATTCTTGTTTTTTATTAAATTGCAAAAGCGATCATTAAACTCAATGGTAGAAAAAGATGCAAACAATGCATATGGTGACACTTCTAAGAAAAAGGGACGAAAACTTTGGAAGTTGGTATTAGCGGATATAGAATTCTAAGAGATGAAATTCAAGTCTTATTTTCTAGAGCCTTCTGTGGCCAATCTATCCGCTTCTTCATTGCCTCTGATGCCTCGATGGCCAGGAACATACTTCTGTAGAGGTTTAAAAGAAAAAAATTCATTACTTATCCCAATCTTTTCCCTTTGTCCTGAACTCACCAAAAAAATTAGTAATGAAATTGTGTCATCGAAGCGTTACTTTGCACAAGGAACTTGTGTGTGGGCCTGATAAATTAAAAGGGGAAAAAAAAAAAAAGTTTGTTTGGCTCAAGACTCGTCCTGGAACAACCATGGGTACTTTCCCCATGTATTTGAGTTAGAATAAAAAATGATCACTGTTGTAAAAAGGCCTGAAATTATTTTAAACCTCAATCTTCCAAGAACCTTGGGTACCTCATTTATAGTCTACAGTTGAATCTAAAAATAAAGCTAACAATGGTCATTGTGCAGGGCTTTTTCCCCCTTCATTTTTTGGCATTAATACTCAAGGAAGAACGTAATGTGGCAATATAACCGTGGGAAATGTCAAACCCACTGCCGTAGGTCAAACCTGCCATTTCCCAACTCTTCATGTCTTTCAAATGATGTTATGGTGGCAGCATTATACAGATTTTTGATTTACTTTCTCCATTTGAGGAACACAATGGAATGTCACTAAAGAATATTATATGAAAAAACAAGATGGGGGACTGTAAGCCTCCCATTTTCAACATTCATCGAAATAAAGATGGCATTTTTCATGTCTAGTATTAATAGATGCTCAGCATCATGACATTCTTTTCATGTAGTTTTCTAGCCAAATGCTCAATTCCCACTTTCCAGGTTCCATCATGAAACTAATGACCCTCTTAAAAGTATTAGGTCTTGTCTTCTCCAGAGACAAATGGACCTACAGTGCTGAACTGCAAAACTATACTAAAAAAGCAACTGTTGTTGAGCCATGCCCCGACTCATATAGTGACCCCTCCTTCGGTTTCCAAGACAGTATCACTATAGAAGTAGATTGCCCAACCTTCCTTCTGAGGAGTGGCTGGTGGGTTTGAACCACCAGCCTTCTGGTTAGCAGTCAAATGTCTTAGACACTACACCAGAGTTCCTTCGAAACTTTATTGCCATCCATTTGACATTTGTTCACTCTTCTGTAATCTTTCCTCCTTGCCCCCTTTGTTTTCAATTATCCCCAAAATCATGCACTACAAATTGTTGTTTTGAGTAATAAATGTTAGAATTTCATAGACTATAAAATATAGGATTACAGTGGCCAAAAATTATTATTTTATTATATATGGAGATTTCCTAAATTCATTTTTATCTCAGTCAAAATGCCTTGCATAGGAATCTTATCTCACCTGTTTTAATATAACTTAATCAAGATAATGGATTTTTTTTTCCCTAAAGCAATTGCAGTTTTAACTAGGTCTCTGGTACTCAATACTATGAGCTGCATAGTAGGTTACTAAAAAACTCTTCCCACCTTTTGCTATTTAGACAAATAGTTTAAGAATCCCACCAACAGCTAATTTTTGGTAAGCTGCCATAGGCATAAATTAAGTATCTCCCAATGTCCTAACAGATTCTTATAGCCCTAACCCAGTGTTGTTATCTGCCGTCGAGGTAGGCCCTCTACTTGCAAGGCTTCAAGCACAAGGAATTGGTACGCAATCCTGTACCATCCCTATGATCAGTTGGGGACTGGATCTTTGTTCATCTATAGGGGTCACACTGGCTGATTTTTGGAAGTGGATGCCCAGGCCTTCCTTTCTGATCTTAATATTGAAGCTCTGCTGAAACTTGTATCAATGTGCATGCCTCCACTGACGACGATTAGCTACCCCAAGCAAGGTACATAGACCTGGAATTTGGAACCTGGATCTCCCACATGGAAGATGAGATACCAACCATTGAACCATCAATGTCTCATATCCTATCTTAGTGGTTAGAAGATTTTTAACTGAGAAGAGCAGTCTTTCTCACCCACTGAATATCCATGCCTTGGGAAGCTTGATCAATCTTCTCAAAATCACTTCTGTTGACAACATCTCTTCCAGAAGCTGTTTTCCATCCATTTTGTTTCCAATTACCTATCCATTGAGTCATACCTAGCAATTAAAAAAAACAGTACAATATTTTCTGAGGTTTAAAACTATGCTTTCAGTTTTCTAAAAATTTCTCTGTGCATAATTATCTAGTGCCTTTTTCTAAAATGAGAACAATTGTTTGGTTGGCCTCTGCCTTTGTATGCCAAGAATCTACAATTGGGAGAGTTCACATGGATTATCAAGGAAGAAGGGAGAATTAACATGAAGAAATTCTGTTCTCTTTACCTTCAGGATCCAAGCACTGGGTGGTAGAACTGTTTTACAAAAATTAGATTTAGGGTCTTTTTCCCTAATTTTTCCGTGGTTTTGAAAGGGGAAATTAAGGGGGAAGATGTTTGTGGTAGGAAATCACAGGGAAGTTTTCATGAACATAGTCTTAAGGATATGGAGATGAAATGTAGGCAGCAGAAGGTTCTACAAAAGAATCCTCCTTTTAAGAATAAAACTCAACACCAAGTTAAAAAGGGGGAAGAGTCTGTGAAAAGTAGGGATCAAATTCTACACTCCATCAATTCAGCATCTATTCACTGGTTATAGATAATTAAGTTTCCTTAGAGACTAATTTTCCCTCTAATCTTACACATATAAGAAAATACCAGCAATTTTTGGCCACTGTTATTTTTTTTCTTCACTGTTATTTTTTGTTCTCATATAATCCCCACCTGAAGTATGTTTTATTCCTTTACAGGATGTGGATCTGAGGCTGAGAGATTCACCATGATGAGCGACTGAAACATTAGGCTGCTATTTTTTCAAAAGGCTTCTAATTTCCTAGTCTTGCATGTTGACATATTTGATGGCATTGGAATATATCTACTAAAATATATTCAACACATAAAAAACAGAAATAATAGCAAGAGAAAAAATTTAATTCTTGTGACCCTTAAACTGTCTTTTCAATGGTCCTATCTTGAAGCTTGCTTTTTGTTTTAAGAATTACACTCAGGCAAATGTAAAGTAGGTTGTTAACTTTTCTGATCTTCCTTTCAAGCAGCCCAAACATCCCTCACACTCACTTATTTCCTGAATGAAATCAGTGACCAAATCAAGCATCTTTTAGGCTCAGATTTTACACCTGGCAATCTATAAACTATTATTCTCAATAGAAAATTTACCTTTGATGACAAACTTGCTGTCAGTTTCGATAATGAGTTTATCCATATTTTGGCTCTTTGCTTGTTCAATTGCTTTGTGGGCTGCCTGTAAGTAAAGTCTGAATTTTATTCTTCATACAACGACAAATTTTCTATGTGAAATACCATGAAAAAGTTCACTTTAATACAAGGTATGAAATTAAACCTTTTCCATCACAGTCAAAGGTATAGCCAAAGATACCACACTTCTCATCTGTTTTCTTGATCTAAGAGGGCACAATGAAATCAGAAGGCTCTTCCTAGCTTTAAGTCTGTGAAAGGGTGCCAGTCTCCCAATTGACTCTTCACTGGGAGACTTCACTATAGTGGCACGACAGGAAAAGGAACTTGTTCATCTTCTATGTTTTCCCTTTCACAAGAACTAGAAATAAAGTAAAAATGGAAAGCTAAATAAATGTCAGTGTGGTTACGTGAGTTAACACAACTTACCTTCAATTCTGCTGTTTGGTTTGTCTGTCGTCCAGAAACCCTCTCACTTACATTTCTGTTTTGAGATATAGGAATAATTTTATTAAATTCTTATTGCATTATCAACTTCCCATTTTGCTCACGGACCTCTTAAAGTTAGATGCAGTCTATGTTTTTACTCTTCTATGGTACCATCTGTATTGTCATCAATTGCCAAAGATGTAATTTTTGGCATCTTAAAAATGCAAATTGTTCTCACCACCTACTGGTATCCAAACACTCTTCCATTATGATTGAAATTTTGTAGAAGGGGTAAGGCAAATTTCCAGGTGTCATCTGAAGAAGTACCTTTTTAAATTCAGTATTGAGATTTCAGTGAGGGAGGTTTACCTGCAGACCTTGAAATGGCATTGTTTTAAATGTATCCAATAGAATCTCACTACTATGCCATCTGCTTGAATAGTCCAGTAAGATCTAAATCCAGAACATTCTACATTCATCCTCTTTCCCCACAAAAACATCCTCCCCTCCACAGAATATTATTTTAATAAAACACATTTTTATTTTGCTTCAAAATTTAATCACTTTGTTCATCTAACATAATTACAGGATTTAAAATGTTTTATAGTCATAAATCACATAGTGCATTTTTTTTCCTTTGAGGCTGAATTATTATAATTAGGAGCTCTGGAGGTATAGTGTCTAAGGCATTTGACTGCTAACCAGAAGGCTGGTGATTCAAACCCACTAGCCACTAATCCAAAAGAAGGTTGGGCAATCTACTTCTGTACTGATACCACCTTGGAAACCCAAGGAGGGGTCGCTGAGTTGGATCCTGACAGCAGTGAGTTTGGTTTGGGGTGGGGGTGTGTGTGTGTGTAAATCTGAGAATTTGAGAATTATCCATGCCCATGTACATCTTGGATACCACAGACCTACTTAATAAAATCTTTATATTATCTATTTCTAAAAAGGAAAAAAAGAGAAGCCATCAGGTTCAGTATAGTGTATAACTCAGGTGAGAGGCAGGTTACTTTTCTAGTTTTCCTACATGTAGTTGAATTGGCAGGATCCATTACTAAATACCAAATATACATCGATGGATGAATGAATAAATGAAGGTCTTACACGGTCTAGTGGCAAGCATGTTATGACCCAAGGATTTTTATTATTTAAAACTACCTTTGCTGTTTAAAACCACCTTTTACGGAAGAGTTAAGAATTTAGCAGAGGAGCCCTGGTGGTGCAATGATGAATGCTGAACTGCTCACCAAATTGCAGTTTGGAATCCACCAGCGCTCTGGCTGAGGAAGATAAGGCAGTAAGCGTCCATAAAAATTTACAGCCTTGGAAATTACGGGACAGTTCTACTTTGTGTTACAGGGTTGCTATGAGTTGGAATTAACCTGGAAAGCCCACAGGTTTTGATAATAATTTAGCTTTATTTTTATGTCACTTACAGTGGGTTCTGAGGTCCCCAGTAAACTCCATATCCAGCTTTTGCACCATCTCTCCCGTTATTTTTGCAGCTTCCATCCACAAAAACAGTTGGGGTGTGTTCTGCAAAACATCAATTGCGTAAGAATTACGTGAATTATGTATGCATGCTTGTTGTAAACACCAGGAGTTCCTGGACTGGTGGGGGAGTTCCTGGACTGGTGGGTGGAAATGGTTACAGCATTCCTACTAGTCTTATTCTGCTTTAAGCAGCTAATTTGAGGTATTGCCCTTCTAAGTGGACTGCTGCCATTCCATACTCTCCTCTCCAAGGTGTATAAAACTGTCCTGAGGAGCTCTAGGTAGCAGTGGCCTCACTAGTGGAGGTGACAGCAAAATGCCCCAGGTTTACGGCAGACCTAAGGCTTCACAGTAAAGGGGTGGGCGACCAAGGTACTAACATCTTTATGGTTGGTGTTACAATCACTCTGTGGTAGCCAGACAAGGTTGGGGTGAAGGGTCTCTCTGCCCAAGCCACTGGGAGAGGGTGTAGCTAAGCCGAGCTGTGAGGGGGCAGGGCGATGCTGTGAGGGGAATTCGTCCACCCAGACTGGGGCAGAAGTGGAAGCCCCAGGCCATTGCCTGGCCCTCGCCCACCCGCAGCTCCTTCTAACGATCTCCCCTTCCCTCCCCACCACGTCCCTCCCGGCTCCCGCGCTGCCCAGGAAGACCCAGGACAAGGGACCACGGGTCGCAGCCGTAGGCCAGGCAAGAGTCCTAAAATACTAAGGTCAGTGAGAGGAGGCAGGAAAGCCTAGTTTGAGGAACAAGGGAAAGAGGCAGACAGAGGACCAGCCCGGTTCCAGCCCAGGGCGGGCATGTGGAAGCGGCAAACAACTCCACTACAATCACCCCTCCCAACCCCAGCGAGTTCCGCCGTGGTGGAAAGCATGGGGCGCACGATGGACTGTCTGCAACTGGGGAGAAGAGACACCCGCGCCGAAGGCAGAACGCAGGGCCCCCCTCAGGGAGGGCTCTGGCCACGGGTTCCCTGGTGAACTACCCTCCTTGACAACCTACCGCTATCCGGGCCGGGCGCCAAAGCCAAGCGAGGTCCAACGCAGCACCCAGGCCGCGCCAGAATTACCGGGCCGCAACAATGGCAAACCCAGGGAAGGAAGTGAGTTCCTAAATTCATAGACGAAAAAACCAAACTCACCGCCGTGAGTCCGAACCGACTCACAGCGACCCTTCCATGGCGATGTTAGTAAATTGCCCCATCACTTGTAAGTGGCCCTATTGTATGACCAATCTCCTCTGGGCTCAGTAGAGTCCCGCCTAACTTCGTTGTCAGTCCTCCAGCCTGGTACTCGTCATAGCATTTTTCAGGACACGCGATACTGGTTAATTTTTGTGTGGTCTCTACTCAGACCTGTAGGATGAAGAACCGGTTCTTAGATTTTGTCCCAGGCAACCGGGATAAAAAGATATGAAAATACTCCAACATCCTAACCCTTTTAACACGAGGACACATACAAACCAAAAACCCTTTTAAATTATCCCCCCCCCCCCCGCAAAGCAGTGCCTTTTAAGGGTGTTTTGTGAAGAGAGTAAAAGACCTCTGGTGGTGCAGTGGTTACAGCGCTCGGCTGCAAACGAAATGTGGACTGTTTGAACCCAACAGATCTGCTCGACCAAGATGCTTCAGTATATATATAACCCTGGGGCGAAAGACTAGGCAGTCTGCTTCCGAGGGCAAGATATACAGCCTTGGAACCCCTATGAGAGTCAGTTCTACTGTCCTATTAGGTCACTTATGACTCGCAGCACTGGGTTTGGGAGGAATGTACTTTTAGTGCTTGGCACGATGCCTGAACACGCAGGGCGTCCCCTCAAATCCTTTTTTTTTTTTTTTTGCCCCTAAGTCGTTACTACACTTGCCAATTCCATTGTGACCATGAACAATAATCCTACCAAATACGGGCCCTGCAGTGGACCGGGCGGAGGGGGGGGGGGGGTTGGCGGGGTGTGTGTGTCAAGAATTTTAAACTTTTCCTTCCGTCTTCAAATAAAACTTTCGAGAAAAGGTTTATGACCATTACAAAGAAAAATGACCTTTTCTCCCAATCGGGGTTCAGAATTGAACATTCGTTTTGTCCTCATCACCAAGCTTGTTTGGGTGACCATTTAACGTTTACAAGAGCCCTTTGTAAAACTACTAAGGATTGAGGGCATCTACCCAAATACCCGAGGGCACAACAAATGAAGGGGAAGTGTTTACCATTGATTGTGTCTAAGAAAGGAACCAAATGGCCCCAGGTCACCTACATTACACATGTACCCACTTCGGGGGTCACTGGTCCTTTTGTGAAAATGAAGGCACCATGTAATTACTTAAAAAATGAAAAATAAACTTTTACAGCTCCGCAGAACACTGACGAGCTTACTTAAACCCTACAGACCTCCTAAAGGCCAAATCGCGGCAGAGGATTGCTGGTTTTGTAATTCTGTCACCCCCACATTCCTCTACCAACTTAGAGGAGCTGCGGCATGACTCCTTCCAAAGTCCAGAAAACAGGATGTACTTTGGGAAATCACCAACAGGCAACAGGACTAGCTTGGATACACATTTTGTGCACACTTTGCCCCCACATCTACAACCAGTCTGGTTTTCCACACACCGTCCGTCCACACAGGGTTGGAGAGAGTCGATCACGGCCGGCAGGCATTGGGATCTGGCAACTTTTGTGGACGAAGTCCTGGGACAGCCAGGAATCGGCGCCTATGCTGGATAATAAGCACATTACATCCTTCCCCTCAAGGTAACCTCAATTCCCTTCACGTTAAGTTTTCAACTAAGTTCTTACAAATTCATGCGGGTAGCGAACACAAATGTGGAGACCGCAAGCTAACGATCTCTGCAGAAAATGAGTACGACGTGCGAGCACTATTTTGGAATGCTCGACAACCGCCCCTGCAGACCTCATGAGTATTTAACAAGTTCTGACCCAAAACAGTAAGTCCGAACCCCAAAGCAGTGCCCACTGCCACCTTGGGTCAGTCTTTGGGACAGTCCCACTAATCCAGCCACTCAATGAAGTGGTCTCCCGTCTTCCCTTTGGCAAAAGTGCCCGAAATTACCCTACCGGACTCCTTCCTAAAGCTTTGGGGACAAAGTAGCGTCTCCGGGTATCAGCAGTGCCCTCCCCTCCGATTCCGATGACTCACCTCTTCTGGGGTTGAGTCTTCGTCCGCGTCCGTCACTAAAGTTCATGTTGGACTTTTACTCCACAACCAAAAACCTCTCTAGTCTTTGCGATTCCAGCACTGACGCTTCCCAGGCGCAACATTTGAGGAAGAGAGCGCCAGGAAGGCGGGGCTCCCTCGGAGACGCCCACGCTTTCCCTTTAGCCTGAGGGCACCCGGGAGAGAACAGCTCTAGTTTTGGTTCCCGCCCTAGGCCCAAAATTTCCCCTCCTGCGGCTTTCAAATCGCCTCCCTTTCACCTTAACTGACTTCCTCCGGAAGGCTTTTTCACCCCCTCCTTTTTTTTTTTTTTTTTTTTTTACCATTGTATTCAATTCAACCCTCAGGCCGCCTGCTAACCTCAACCTGTGAGCTGGTGAGATGCCTTGGATCCTCGCTCTGACTGAATGCTACCAACAAGACTAGTCAGTTTAAGGGCTGTGTCCCCAGAACTTTGAACAGAATCTGGCATTCGTTAGGATCTCAGAAATTATCTGCAGAACAAATGAATAGATGAATTCAGTAACGATGAGTGCTGCATAATAAGTGAGTCCCAGATGTAAGGGATCTCCCGAGACAGGTGGGGAGGTGACAGGGAAAAGAAAGATACGGTTTACCGGTCAGTTACAGCCTGGGATACTTCTTTCGTACGAAATGTTGTTGTTGTTATGTGCCGTCGAGTGGGACCCGACTCATAGCGACCCCTCCTTGGGTTTCCGAGGCAGTAGCACTACGGAAGTAGATTGCCCAACCTTCCTTCCCAGGAGCGGCTAGTGGGTTTAAACCGCCAGCCTTCTAGCAAATGCCTTAGGCACTATGCCAGCAGAGCTCCCTTCTTAGTCTAACTCTTCTGTATTATTTCAAAACAATCAATTCTGCTACAGAGAGTAAGAATAAAGTTTGCCTTGCCCTGTCTTCTTTCTGTGGAGCGGTTGGTGGCTTTGAACCACTGACCTGATTAACAGCCTTATCCACTAAGACACCAGAGCTCCTTGAATATTCATTCATGATACCCTAAATAAAAGTTCCTGGTACTTAATTTTTGTGACGTATGCCACTTACTTGTTTTCTATCTTACCAACTCCTTAAGGGCAGAGACCTTCATTTTGGTATCCTTGGTGCCTATGAGAATGTCTGGGACAAAGAGCAGATTGTTTGGTGCATAGATATATGAATGAACTATGCAGGGCTCCTTGCCGTAATAAATCAAATAACAGGAAGCAGGGTGTTGAAAAGTAAAATGTTGAAATCTGAGACCTACCTGGTGATAAAACCAGAAGCTTCCTATCTTTAGCCCAGATCTTCAAAATACAGGAATTTGTTAGTCATAATTTCTTCAACTGGGCTTTATTCAAATGTAAAACATCTTTCCATGAGGCCTCAAGGCCAATTTGGTCAGAGGATGAACTTCTGGGCTGATGTGCTGTTGTATTTTATTTGAACTTTCTGGTGGATGTGAAATTCCAGGCTTTTAATTCAATGCAAATTTACTTAAAGAGGGGCTATTTGTAAACAAAACTAATGATATTTAAATAATGACAAACTTGGTCACATCCCAAACAGAAGTAGAAACATTTATAACTATTGTTGTGACTCCAAGCCCAGAATATGGACTATTTTGTGAACTTTTTACTGTTAGGTGCAGAAAAGAGTCAGTCAGGAGTTCTACCCAAGGTGCAATTTTGCCCTCAGAGGGACTTTGGGCAATATCTGAATATATTTTTGGTGTCTCAAATGGGGTGGGGTGCTGCTGGTATCTAGTAGGTGGAAACCAATGATATTGGTAAACATCTACAATGCACAGGTGTTCGGGGTTCAAACCCAGTAAGGCAAATGTCTCAGAATAACTGCTCAGAGAGAGAGAAAAACTGACCGGGAGCCACTCTAAAAGACATCGAGTGACACTCCTCTATAAACTAAAAAAAAAAGTAAGAAATAACACTTACTTCTTTTCTATCTATCTTACCAACTCCTTAAGGGCAGGGACCTTCATTTTTGTATCCTTGGTGCCTACCAGCCTATGGGGAAACATTTACAGACCTCCATGGCAAATGTTATGATAACCAAATGCAGGAAGAACAGTAAGGGTCTAAAAGTATCTGTTCACAGGCTTGTAGAGGTGGGAGAGGAAGCAGGACAAAAGCTACAAACTTAAACATTATCAAGTTTACCTGTTTTATCCTGAGAGTTTTTATATCCTGAGACTAGTTTAACAAAACATCCTTTCAGGGGTTAAATTTTCTGTTTAATTTCAAGTCTGTTTCCTTATCTTAGTTAAAGATTTACAAAAGATAGTGGATACACAATGGGAAATCCTAGTGAGAAAGTCATTTAGGACTAGGACTTGAGTATCTATTTTAGCTACAAAGTTATTTACAAGTTCTAACTACATTTAACATTATCAGTTCTATTTCTGAAACTCCTGCTAACAAAGGCTCCTTCTTTGGGACCTGCTTAAAAAAAAAAAAGAGAAACATTGAGTAACTATCTAGTTTAGAAATCCTGACTTCTGCCTTATTATTTTGGGAGCTCTGGTAGCATAGTGCCTAAGGCAATTGACTGCTAACCAGAAGGCTGGCGATTCAAACCTACCAGCCACTCCTCGGAAGGAAGATGGGGCAGTCTACTTCCGTAGTGATACTGCCTTGGAAACCCAAGGAGGGGTCACTATGAGTCGGGTCCGATTTCGATGGCACACAACAACAGCCTTGATGTTTAAACAGTGAAACAGCGACAAAGAGGCTGAATGGTTTCTTCAGAAAAGTAGAAATTTTGGTTATGGTCTGACATCATCCAATTCAAGGAATTCTGGTGGCACAGTGTCTAAAGCACTTGACTGATAATCAGAAGGTTGGCTGTTCAAATCCGCCAGCCACTCTGTAGAAGGAAGACTGGGCAATCTACATAATCAGAATCAATTCCATTGCAGTGGGTCAGGGTGGTTCTTTTTTTTTTTTTTTTTTTTCCCCCCCTAATCATCCAATTCACATCTGTCACGACTCAGGTTTTATTTTTTAAGATTCATGTCCACAATCCTGTGCAGGCATTCATTTTTCAATTAAAAAAAAAAAATTATAAGAAAAAGAGATTTCTCATCTACCTGCGTAAAGGGAGCAGTCTAGTTAGAGACTAGAGACTCCTTTACGAAGATGGGAACTGTAGGGGTGCAGTAGTTAAGGGATTTAGCTGCTAACCAGAAGGTTGGTGGTGCAAACTAGCCACTCTGTGGGAGAATGATGAGGCAATATGCTTCTGTAAAGATTTACAGCCTTGGAAACCCAATGGGCAGTTCTATTCTGCCTGTTAGAGTCGCAGTCTCAGAAGGAAGGTTGGACAATCTACTTCCATAGTGATCTTGCCTCGGAAACCCAAGGAGGGGTCGCTATGAGTCAGGCCCGACTCGACAGCAGTGGTCGCTTTTATAAGTTAAGAGGACCAGTTAATACGACCGCTGTTCAAATTTACATACCAACCACCAAAGGAAAAGATAAAGAAACTGAAGATTTTTACAAACTTTCACTGTCTGAAATTGAACAAACAATGCAATCAAAGTGTATTCATAATTACTGGTGATTGGCATGCAAAAGTTGGAAACAAAGAAGAATCATTAGTAGTTGGAAAATATGGCCTTGGTTATATAGAAGTGATACCCAGATTGCAAGATAGAATTTTGCAAGACCAGCAATTTATTCATTGCAAACACCTTTTCTCAACAACATAAATGGTGGCTATACATGTGGACCTCACCAGACAGAATATGCAGGAATCAGATCGACTACATCTGTGGAAAGAAGCAATGGAGAAACTCAGTATCTTCAGTCAAAAACAAGGCCAGGAGGTGACTGTGAACAGATCGATTGCTCATATGCAAATTCAAATAAAGCTGAAGATTATTAAAATAAGTTCACAAGAGCCAAAATATGACCTTGGTATATCTCACCTGAATTTAAAGACCATATGAAGAACAGATTTCACTTATTGAGCACCAATGCCCAGAGACCAGATGAGTTGTGGGATAATATCAAGAACATCATCCATGAAGAAAGCAAAAGGTCATTAAAAAGACAGGAAAGGAAGAAAAGACCAAAATGGATGTCAGAAGAGACTCTGAAACTTGCTCTAGACAAGAGAGAAGCTAGAGAATTGAATAAATAAAAGAGCTAAAGAAAAATTTCAAAGAGTGGCTTGAGAAGACAATGCAAACTATTATCATGAAATGTGCAAAGACCTGGAATTAGAGAAAGAAAAAAAGAAAGCACTCAACAACATTTCTCAAGCTGAAAGAAATTAAGACATAATTCAAGCCTCAAAAGACCATACTGAAGGATTCTATGGGCAAAGTATTTGTAAGGCCACAGTAAGGAGAAAAGGACGCACAAAAGTGAGGTTAAAGAGAAGTTTTTATTCTGAGTTTCCGGGGGAAGTTTACGGGCCCCCGAGAGGGGCCCGGGCGAGGTTCACGGGTCCCTGAGAGGGGCCCGGGAAGTCCCACCACCTGGCTGGGGAGGGGAGGGTTTATAGTCTTGTGGAGGACCTAAGCGGGGACACTAAGGAAATAGTGGGGTCCAATTAGCTGTTAGTATGGGTCTGCACTTAATTAGCATGAGGGGGCTTCACAAGAGGAAGCTTGCCACTGCATGGGACTTTCCAGTCTGGGCGGGTTCTGTTACTTCCGTTGTCTCATCAGGGCTTGACACCGGAGGAAGCTGCTAACTGAAATATTGGTGGCGTGGGTTTACTTCAGCCTAACAGTATTGACCAACATAAGAAGCATCAAAAGAAGACAGAAAGAATACACAGTCACTGTGAAACCGAGTAAAGTAAAAACTTTCCCCCACCCTGGTACCCGATGGGAATAGATAAGTAAGCTAAATTACCCCCAACTATTTCCCCACCCCAGGCAGATGAGTATTCAGTTCCTTAAAGAACATTCTTTCCTGTAGGTGTTAGACAGCTAAAAGTGTCTTAGAAACAACTTGTAAATTAACTCTGGCCTGGGGACGTGCACAATAGGGCAGAAAGGAACAA